AGGGGTCTGTGAAGGAGAGGAAGCTCCCCCTCCGCCAAAGCCTCGGCTCCAGCGCCCAGCGCGTCTCCCCCTTCCTCCCTCGCGGCTGCGCCGAGAGCAAATCCTCTGCAAGATTAAAAGCAGAAGAGCCCTAATCTGTTACGGCCACCAGTTTCTGCTCCTCTTGGGACAGATGGCCGCGTGACTCCCAAGGCAAGGGGCTCCCTGCAGCGCCCTGGCACCTCCTGACCCCCACGGCTGCAGCACCCGGGGGCGCAGAGCAGCAGGACTCACCCACCCTGAGATAATCCTCCCTGAACACGCCTGAAAGCCCCGATTTCTCCCGCAAAGGCAGTGGTAACTGACAGCCTGGCATCCTCTGCCAGCAGAGATGAGTTTGGAAGTGCTCAGCTGAGCAAAACCAGCTTTTCTGCAGGCTCGGGGGACCTGATGGCTAATCATGCAAATCCCCCTCGCCCAGAGGAGATTTGGCTCAGAAACCTCCGCAAAGAGCAAAACACACAGCTGGGCATCAAGGTGATCAAGTCTTTGAAACCAGGTCAAAAAAAAAAAAAAATCACAGGAGCTGCAAAAGCCTCTGGGAGCAGCAGGACGGGCAGCAGCAGAGCCGTGGCCAGAGCATCCCGGGATCGCACATGGCAGCCCCAGCGCTCGCTGTTTTGGAGAGCCCAAAAGCCGAGGGAAGGGGTCAGACTCCAGATGGATGTTTTGGCAAAGCAGCTCCAGCTGCACTCCCAATTTTGGAGGGGAAGAAAAAAAGAAAAAGCACGGAGCACATCTTGACTGGACAAGTTTGTGCCGGTGGTAATTCTTGCCGAGAAGGTCTTTAGGCTTAATTAGCAAGCAATTTGTCACAGCGCTAACGATCCCGGTGTTTACCTTATCCTATTAACTACCAAAATAGTCACCTATTAATATTAGCCAGTGCCATAAGGATCCTGTGGCAAGCCCTGTGCGTACACAAGGCATTTTCAGGCATCATTCCCAGATATTTTTTACTATTTTTGCACCTTTACCCATCCAAGGAGCTCAACTCACTTTGCTCCTCAGCATGACCCCCTCAGATACCCCGTCAGTCCAGCCCTTTGCAGGGAAAACCGCTGCCTGGAGGGGAGGGACTGATTTTCCAAGGTCATGCACAAGGTTTGAAGCAGGGCCGGATGCAGAGCCGGGAAGACTCTGCTGCGGCGGCTCGAGGCAGAGCCGGGGCAGACAAATCTCCGCAGAAGCAGCGATGCTGCAGCAGCCCGGGAAGGGGGGGTCCTCTCCGCTCCCCCCAGACCCGCTCCCTCATGCTGCTGGGAATTCACCCGTCGCTTTCCCAAGCCTGGGGCACTCTGATGCCCGCTGCGGGCCTTGGCCAGAGTGTCTGCAGCTCTGCAGCACAGAGCAAAGGATGAAACCGCTGGCGAAGTAGTAAAAACTCAGCCAAGTTGGAGAGCAGGGAGCAAGGGGGTGCCAGGAGATCCCAGTCTCAGGTCGGGGGGTCCCTGGGGAGCCCAGGGCCGGGTGGACACTTGGAGCATCCCCCTCGCCGCCACTTGGAGCATCCCTATCCTGCCACTCCGAGCAACCCTCTCCCGCCGCTCGGAGCATCCTCCTCCGCTCTCTGCTCAGCGCCGGCTACGGCCTCCCGGCCCGCCCCACCCCACC